AACATTACTCAGAGTCACTGTGGCACTGCATCTATGCTCATGTTCAAGAATTTCATATTATCATTAGATATGATTATATTAATTGTCAGATATATGATATCTGTGAAATCTGAAGAAGTGTAATTATATTTTTATATGTCTGAGTGTCAGAACTCTCAGATCTTTTACTGACATTCTCTTGTAAGATCTTGTTACAGGGTCAGAGTAACTGGCAAGCAAGCTTCTATCTAAGGACTCAGTGTCTGCTTAACTGTGTGACTGTTTCTTACACATTGTTACATGTTCAGATATCTCTCAATGAATAATCATTTCTGATGAGAAGACAATGCATGAATAATTGTTTTCTAATAAGAAGACAATGAACATTTTTATAGTGTAAGAGGCCTACGCTGAATAGATTGGTATAATAGATAGGTCTTATATAACAAAGATAAAAACATTAGAGAAGGAAAGAAAGAGAAAGTGCAAGAATCAGTGATCAAGGTGGATATTTATACACATATGTGGTGGTGTATGTGGTGGAGCTTCGGGGCGGAAGAATATACGCGCGTTCGTAGCAGCCGCGGATCAGTGATTGGGAATGGCCGAGAATCAGAGCGTACGAGAATCGGAGCGTACGCGTTCGTAGCGGCCGCGGATCGGCGATCGGGAATGGAAGAATCTATGGAGTGTAATGAAATAGTCTATATGATTGATCGGGCGCAGCCCGCCACACTCATTATCAATTCAACTGATCTCATTACACAGTTTTAACATTAGATAGTAGTCTTATACTGTCTCAGTGAGACTTACTGTCTACTCTTATCACATTTTTCAAATGAGATCATGATTTTCACTTCTCAATTTAAATTATTTTTATTGCTTTAAATGACTTTAAATCTCATTTGAGTGTTATCAAAAAGCATTACTTTTTAAAAAATTAAAAATAGTCTAAAAAAAACCTTAAAATATCTAAAAATAGTAACTTTATACTAAGAATGAGACTAAATGAAATCAAATGAGATCACTTTCTCATTTTTTTCAAGTCATGATTTCATTTTAAGATCTGATATATAGTCACTTTACATGTTTTTTTAATAGCCAGTTCCAGCAGGATTCACGCCAAGAAATGTATGAGACCAGATCAAATGAGATCAAATATGAAATTCATGGTCCCAGCGGCCAGTCTAATAAGATCTATATATTATACCAATCTATTCGGCGTAGGCCTCTTACAGAGATTATGAAGAATTGAAGTTATATAATAGTTTAAGAGAAACTGTGATTAGTAAGTGAATTAATATGAAAAAGAAGTCTTTCTTCTTCTAAATCTAAAAAACTTTTACAGTGAATAGAGATTGTTTTCTTTCTTTATATTTAAATCATGTTGTAATTCTATGATAATATATATTAACTGATTTCATATTTTTTAGCAGTTTTAGTGTAATTGGGAATCAATTGCAGATTCAAATCATCAATTGCTGCTGGTATAACTGCTTTGTAGTGCATGTTGTGAGTGTTTGAAGGTGGATGAAATGAAGGAAGAATTTGAGCGAGCGTTAAGTACGCTAATTCATAAAGTAAGTTACTGGCTTAATTTTTCACTTAATTTCAATCAAGGAAGCATGAAGTGAGGTTAAATCTATTTAAAGTTGCACCATCAAAATCATGATTCCCTTGCAAACATCGAACATCAACTCAAGCTGCCAACTGCCAATACCTCATTCGTGATACCCCCGTCACTCACAAACGTCATTCCATTTTGTATCTCCACTTATATAGCCTTGCTTTATCCTAAATACCACATCACGGGGTCTGTCGAATAAATGTAGCATCCGATGGCAACCCAGGAAGAAGATATCGCGAAGTTTTCCAGCCCGGACGAAGGTATGAATAGCTCTAGTACTACCAATATGCACCATGAATAAAACAGAAAAGGGATCGTGAATGAGTTCTGGTGCCTCATAAGTGACTGCTGCAATGCCTATGTATATATATATCAGATATAATCGAACTCTGTGCAGGGGCCGCTTGGGTCGCCCAACATTTCTTTATCCAGGCCAATTTTGCATTCCGCTTCGAAAATCATATTGCTAACTAACTGTGTTTAATAGCCCGCCAAAAGAAACGCCCAAAGGGCTCATTTCATGCCTTCGGGAGGGTTAAATTACCTCCTCTGTCAACCTGGGAGGGTGATGGTGCAGTATCTACTGGGCTCCCACGCCTGGATGCTGCTCTGGCACTGCCCTCTGGACTGAGACCATCCCCTTTGGGCCCCGGACGGAACAGTCAACGTTATAACGGCCACCAGGATGTGCCTGCGAAGGGTATCAAGCGCGGAGATGTTACAGAGGTTACAGGACCGCGGGGAGTGGGGAAGACCTCACTTGCGTGAGTATTCTCGAAAGCGTCGCCATCATCCGCGTTTAAGACTGGGCTATTAATAACCCATGAGTTGAGATACAAACAAATGTAGCTGATTGAATACTTACAGAATGGGAATTGCGGCACGGGTATTACAAGCGGCGCAGAAAGTTATCTGGATAGGTTAGTATCATTGCCAGGGAGTCGTGCTCCTCGTCTGATTATTTCAGGGAACCCTGAGCTCACAGTAACCCTATTACCTACAAATTATAATTTTACATGGATATACTATCTGACATTGGTAGATACCGCTGGCCCTATGAACCCAACAAGGCTCAAAGACATCTGCCAAAGAGTTAGAGTTTCAGGCTTATCCGACAACTCATCCGATGCAGCGTCAAATGGAGGCAGGAGCGACGAAATCCTCAACGAGCTAATATATTTCCACCCACCAACACTTGCACATCTCCTAGCCCTAATATCTCACCCGCCAAAGGGCTTCCCACCCCAAGAAACAGGCCTAATCGTAATTGACTCCATCTCCTCCCTCTTCACCTCCGAATACCGCACCAAACTACCACCGAGAAACAGTAACCCAAAACACAGGACAACCGCGGAATCCAAAGATGAAAGAACTCGCTGGAAAATCATCGGTAATCTGGTTATGGATTTGAAAAAACTTGCTGCCAGATTAAATTGTGTTGTTATCGTCATAAACGAAATGGCTTCGCGGTTCAGGGGAACACAGCCACCTGTCCTTCACGAGGCCCTCTCGGGCATAACATGGGACTCCGGGGTCACTACACGCATAAAGCTTTGTTGGCATTGGCTACCCCCTAGCCTTCGATCACGAGTGCGCATGAAACGTGTGCGATTTGCGGAGGTGGCTAAGGTTGAAAAAGTCGGGCTTATGCATGGGAGATCGCTCAGGATCGTTCCATTTGTAATTAAAAAGGTATGTACGTACGTACTTAACGTCATCCCAAGCCGAGCGAGTTTCTCTCCCTCTCGATGAGGTATTCACCTAGGGTCCCTGCTTGGTCGGAGCCTTTTTATTTTTTATTTTGTTTTGTTTTGTTTTTGGTTTGTCTTTCTAGACGACAGGGATGTAAATTTCATATGGATATATCGGCTCTGTACACGTCGGGGAGGAATGAATAACAATTTTAATAATGATTGAAAATATCCAAATAGACCGGTCTGCATGAATTCGGTCCCCGGCCTGGCGGCACACCGCTTTCCATCTTCACCCGCATCTCCAAGCGCCCGCATGTAGTACATGTGCGTTCGAAACGGAAGCTCGACCTTGTTATCGATGGCAGCCCCGACACAAGTCGAAAACATCGAATGGAGCCTGCCACAACAACGCCAGGGTTCAAACTTCAAAACAGCGAGCTGGATGAAGGTACGGGTGGGACGACACCGTCCGATGCATCTTTAGCCTTATCGATAAAAGAAGAAGACGAACAGGACCAGGGCTATGAGTATGAATGGCTAGATGAGGAGGGAATAGAATTTGTTGATGAGACTGTTGATGGGGAGGAGCCTGGAAGTGATGACCATGCTGGCTCTGGTGATGGTAAGGGTGATGACAGTCCTTGCCTAAGCCACAACATGGGAGAGGATATTGATGATGATACAGTTCTTCTACTACAGAATATCTCTAGCGAGGACGAATTTGATTGAGTTGGTTGGTTGGGCGCTGCTTTTTGGAATTTGTCTTTTTAGTGTTAGAAAACCCAACTATGTAACTTGAATATAGCCGATGTAATGGTCCCTAGGGCTACCGGAAAACCATTTGACTCTCCACCAATAACTGTACGCACAAGGGTTTGCAGATCTGGACATTAACAGCTGGCTGTTGCAAGCCGCGAAGCTGAGGAGACCACAGCTCAAAAGTAACACTTCTTAAAGTATCCGAATATCCACATCTTCCGTTCGTGTGAATGCATTCAAGAGAAAAAGCATTTATCTGGCCGGCCTGCTCTCAATTTTGGTCCTCGAACTGTAGGTATGCTAGGTGCCTTTGAGAAGGTAGACCACTGCAGTAAAGGGGTTAAACCTGAAAGCGGGCATGCCATCTTGAGATATCTAGCCATATATATGTTCTTATCCGGCGTTTGCTTGCTAAAACAATCTTATCCTACACATTTCCGCGTCTATCGGCGCAGTTACTCAGCTCTATGTCTTGGCGTCACGGCGTAACTAACGCCCACTGTGGTGGCACCAAAAGCTTTCCAGCCAAATAGGCCTTAAAACATTTCGCCTTGAGAGCTACTTGCGGCCCCACCCACTATTATCCCTATCATAGTGGTAGGCAAGCCGTTATGATGACGATGCACCGCGAGGGGGTAGTTGTGGCGGAGAGGGGAGCAGAGTTGGAGTGAGAACCTGACGGAGCCTGAAGCCACGACATCAACAGACAGAGCTCAGCTCTCATCGAGATCACAGGTTCTGCTTTCTGACACTGCGGATATCACGTCATGAACAGGCCATCGAAAGTGACTATGGGCCACTCTGCTGTGCAAGATCCCTCGTTCCAGTTGGGTGTTCTGCGGAAGCGATCGATTTAGGAGTAATATCTCCATTCCACCTGAGACCTCTATTGGGATTCAGTGGAAAAAACAAATAATACTGGCGGGATTGTACAGCGTGCCATGGCCGCAATGTTCCAGGAGGCCGTAGTTTCCACAGTTTTGCACATTCAACATCTCTGTGCTGATAAACCACGGGTTGGAGCGTCTCAGGATGGACCTGGAGTAAGAAGGTCTATAGCCATGTTCCGAAGCACTATAGGATACTGCAGCTGATATGAATTTGTCCGGCTCAAAGCTTAAATCTTCGGATTCAAAGCCCGTCAAGTTCAGTTTGTCAAATCGGTCGTCTTCGAGTTTCACTCACTACGCAGTGCGCATCCCGTCACAGGCAGAGTGAGAACTACCAGCCCAGAGAAAGGGTATTTATATCTTCTGCGCTATTTTTGGTGAGATCCGACAACCGAGCTGACTCCTATGAGAAGGATCACTACTCCGTAACGGTGTGGGCTATCCTACCAATGCGTTATTACATCGAGCACAGTTTTGGACAACTGCCTGGGATTGATAGTGCGCCTCTCGTGCTCTACCAGACTACCTATGCATGTACGGAGTAATGTACCAAAAACAATTCCTTTGCTGACGGAACTTTCAGATAGTGGGACGAGCGGGAAGAGCAAGCCCCGAGAATCCCAGCCCACTTATGTGTACGGAGGTATGCTCCCTCCAGACTATCGGCCCGGGAGTCTGCAAAAGGCGTACATACATCCGAAGTACACTACTCCCTATAAATAGTGGAGAATCGGAGTCCCTGTTCCTGGCGCCTCCACAGCACTGCTCCACAGTCCAGCTATTTAAGCGATATGAGCGTCGGGCCAAAAACGACCCTATCGAACGGCGTCGAGCTAAACCGTACAACAACGGGCGGGGCCAAGTTATTTACATCGGGTCAAGAGACACTCACTACCTTTTTATAGGTTTAGTGTGTAACTACATGATATTACATACGGAGTGCGGAATACGGAGTAACTAGTCTTTGAATGTAGTTTTCAAAGTATTGACGTATGAATGACGGAGTACAGTGCCTACCTCTCACGTTTTAATTCGCATCCGCACAAGTCAGTCCTTAATGCGGAGGTCGCGTCGCATTGAGATTAGATACCACATCTTCCACAATCTGGTTGACAAAGAGGGAATCATGATGGAACATGTTGGTTGAAGGTTCTATGGCCAATATAGCTGATGTGAGCAAAGCCTGTTTTGGAAGAGATTGGTGTTGAGGGTCCGGGGGTTGATCGGCCCTTCTACCAGCAGCGCTGGTGGTGACTGAGCTCTTTTGCCCCAGTAGCCTACAATTGGTAAGGGTATGTTAGCCTAAGTCACGTGCCACCCGAACCTGTCATACTTGCCCGCCTTGGATGGGACGCTGGTCGAGTGTACATGTACATGTACATATATCAAAATACCACAACGTTCTAATCCTCCAATAGTAGCCGGAGCACTACCAACAGTTTACCATGTCAGGGCGGACCTCCGGTATTAATAGGGTTCTGTTAATTCGTTTGCTTTGGCTGAGTCTAGCTCCGTTTGACTATCAGGTGCTAAGCTCTAACCCATGTGGCCCAGCAGGCGTTTTCGGAATGGGATCTCCCTATCCAGACTAGAGTGTTCCAGGACGAGATATGGCCTTTTCCGGGACCGACTTTGTTCAACTTCAACGCTGGCGGCTTTATGCACGCATTGATTGCCTGGCTCTTATGAAGATTTCATGGACTTGCTCCGCCTCTAAGAAGCCCGATGCAGAAATGATCTGTGCCGTGCAGCCAGCCAGAGTCCCAAACCCAAAGGCACACGATGAAGAAATTTTGGGTCCTCCGGCGCGAAATTAACTCCGGCCATTATTGGTTTTATATAAAGCTGACCTGGTCCCCGGTACAGTCTCAGCCTTCCTGGTGGTACCTTGAACTAGTATGATCCATTATTGACTCCTGCTGTACGGAACGAAATGGCAGCTCTAGAGCCGAAAAGTGGCTACCTGGCGGAGTTGGTATCAACATCCAACCTGCCCTCTGTCACCTTTGTTGTCACCGCCTTGACTTTGATCTTATTCTACACTCTACAACGTCGCAAACCAAATGTGCCGCTTATCAACCCCAAGCGGTGGTTCGAAGTTTCGGATCAGAGGATCAAGCAGGAATTCGTTCACAATGCAATTCCGATGATAGAAAAGGGCTTTGCTGTGACTGGCAACAAGCCGTTTCGTGTCCAAGCAGATAGCGGAGAAGTCACGGTTCTCCCTCCCAATGTTGCCAATGAGATTAAGAACGATGCCCGCCTAAGCTTTGAATTGAATACCTCTAGGGTAAGGCTACCTTGGTTGGTTCTAAGATAGAAGAACAGTACAAAGCTAACGCCAGAATGATGAAGGCCTTTTTCGGTCACCTCCCAGGCTTCGAAGTCTTCAATACCGATGGATGTAACATGAGAGTTGCAAAGTCTATAGTCCAACGCCAGTTGACTACTTATCTTGGTAAGAAGTCTCTGGCCGGCCTCGCCTTCTAAACTACTCAGACTCTCAGTCCTGAGTCAAACATTCTTACTTACTTGAATCATTTTCTCAGCCAAAGTAACAAAACCGCTCTCTGATGAAGCCACATTGTCTCTTCGGGAAATTTTAACAGACAACAAAGGTGAGACTCCAATCCCAGAACCCAGAACATTGATGTGCTGGTTGCTAATTTACGCTGAGCAGAGTGGCATCAAATTACCCTGAAAAATGAACTTCTACAAATCATTGCCCGCCTCTCCTCCAAGGTCTTCCTCGGCGACGAACTCTGCCACGATGAAAGGTGGCTAGACATTACTATCAACTACACTCTCCATGCGTTCGCAGCTGCAGATTCCCTAAGAATGTGGCCTTCCTATCTTCGTGATATCGTCCACTGGTTCTTGCCGAGGTGCAGGGCGTCTCGAGCAGAAGTTGCCAGAGCACGTACGGTCATTGGGCCTATTTTGAAGAAGCGTGCTGAGCACAAAGCAGCCCTCGCACCCCAGGGAAAGGAACCCCCTGGGTTGAATGATGCTATTGAATGGTTTGAAAACGCCTCAAGAGCCGAGGGTACTTATGTTGATCCTGTTATAGGCCAGCTTGGACTCGGTCTTGCTGCTATTCATACTACGGTAAGAGAATCCTCGGACTATTCGGCACATTTTGAGAAGTGACAAGGTGGTGGTCGGTCTGGATCTAAGATTGTTGGCACAATATCCCAAGAACCGACCCATAAAACCAAGCATGATATTCTCATTGGTACTTAATACTAACAACTTGCATTGTCATGTAGAGCGACCTCTCAACCCAAGTGATTCTTGACATAGCTTCGCATCCGGAAATCATCGAACCGTTGAGAAAGGAGATAATCGAAGCTCTGAGAGAAGGCGGGTGGAAAAAAACCTCACTCTATAAAATGAAGCTTCTGGACAGCGTCATCAAAGAGAGCCAGCGCATGAAGCCCATTACGTCTAGTAAGACATCTGCCTTCCCCCTTATATCCCCTGAACGAGGCATATTGGAACGGACATTAAGGGGAAAATTAAATTAAATGACAAAACATACCCCGTACTTACAAGCCTTCAGTCAGCATGGGCCGCGTAGCAACTACCGATATCACTCTATCCGATGGCACCACCATTCCTAAGGACACTCACACAGTAGTCTCTAGCCACAGCATGTGGGATCCCCGAGTCCACACCAACGCAGACCAATGGGACGGCTACCGTTTCTATAACATGCGCCAGGTCCCCGGACAAGAAAACAGCTCACAATTCGTCAGCACTAGCCCAGATCATCTTGCCTTCGGACATGGCCAGCATGCCTGCCCAGGCCGGTTCTTCGCCGCCAACGAGGTCAAAGTGCTACTCTGCCATTTGCTCCTAAAATATGATCTGAAGGTAGTGGAAGGGTCGATGATTAAGCCATTTAGGTATTCGTTTTCGATTAGTGCGAACCCCATTGCGCCCCTTATGATCCGGAGGAGGGAGGACGTGATTGATCTGGATTCGCTAGAAGCATAAGTTATTAACTTTTGCCCTTACGCATGTTGGGCTTGGGTCTTGGTAAATGACGGCTATGGAATTTAGTAGGGGCATTTCGAGGAAGAAATTGGACCGGCGCACCCATTTGAGGAACTACCCCTTCAGATGGTAATTTCGGAACGGGCGACAGTCTTTCCGCCCGGCTGGAAAACCTTCGCGCTTGAAGAGTATCGCTACGCATTCTTTTGCATTCTTTGTTTTTTTTTTAACTCCCTTTCTTTGTCCTCGAGTTGGCCAACTCATGCGTGGAAAGTGAACATTGCAGAAATCTGGATATATATACCAATCCCGTCTATATGTTAATACTGGCTTATGGTTTGTTTACTTTTGTGTTTCCTTTTTCCTCGAAGGCTTTTCGCAGCTTTATAAAAATCCAAATATATTTACTGCAAGATACTATTTCGATATTAAAATAATTTTTTTTTCTAAACATCGTTACCTTTCCAGTTTTCCCCTTCTTCAAAGTCTTTGTTTGTCTTTGCCAGTTTTTTTCTCGCCAATCACCCTCACGCACCCCGCTCTCTCGAATGCCAGCATGCACCATGCAGCAGGGATGCGACGTATATCATGCATATTATCGCGCATATAGAAAAAATAAAAAATAAAAAATAACGAAGTACAACACCACTCTCTCAACTTTCCATGCTAGGTTAATGTAGAGGTGTCGAAGAGTCGCCGGCAGAAATCATGACTGGTTCGTATTAAATTGCTCTATATATAAACCTAGCCCGAATGAATAGAGTTTATGTTGCATATGACGTTACCCGGCATACGGGGTAAGCACTGGAAGAGGGATGATGTGGTGGTGGTTCTCAGCAGGGTCGGCTTTGATGAGAGTGTTTTGTTTCTGAGTTGCACAAATCTATATAGAACTGTAACTATGAAGACAGAGAAGAAAGCTCAGCATAAGCTTAATTAAATCTTTCACTTATTCCAAGCAGCCTTTCAAACAATACGAACATCCCGCCCGCCCCCGCTATCCCGCCCCTCTGACTACTATGTATTCTCCACAGCCATTCTCCATAATTTAGACTATTTATACTATCTCGCACCCCCGGCCCGCAAGTCGCAAGTCGCAAGTCGCAAATCGCAAATCGCATCCCTCCCCGCCCCGCGGACTCCGCGGATCCGCGAACACAAAGAACTGTAGGATAGTTGAAGGTTGTATTGATAGATCTATCTACATGAACATAATATAGTGGTGGGTCACGTGATCTGGTGGGATCGCTAACCGCAACGGCCGTAACGGCCAACACCCCCCTCGAGATAACAAGAATCACATACAAAAACACCCAATCCACCAAGATAGTCTGTCAAAACCAAATACAAATGTAAAATTAAGCATTCTCAACTTTTACATCTGTAAGATCTAGCAAAATCATGAATCATATAAATAGACTGACCGTGTGACCGTGTCTGGGACCAGGACCAGATTTTTTGATAGTCTTATTATCAATTCGACTGATCCCATTACATGGTTTTAACATTAGATAGTTACACAGTCTTATTATCTTGATATTCTTTACTGAAAGTAGTACTTGATTCTCTATCAAGAACTTCATTGAAAGATATTTTTAATTATAGTATTTTATCTATTACTTCTAAGTATAGTGAATGCTTTTTATCATCTTCTTATAAATTTTATTTAAAAGTTTTAATCTTACTTTTACTTCTAATACTGAGAGATACTCTGTTCTCTGTATCTATTTAACATTCTAACTGTCTATTTCTCTCTTTGAAACATCATTTATAACATAACTGAGTAATGAAGAATTATATTTATAATAAGTATAGAAAGAAGATATCTTTAAGATTACATTCTTTATATTAATATATATGAATTCAGCAGTCAGAAGATGTTTGAGTCAATCATTCTGATAATATGAATAGAATACTTCAAGATACTGTTGTAGTATTTGATTCTGATATTCAGTCTGATTATCTGTCTGCAGATGAAATGCAGTACTGAGAAGATATCTTATTATAAAATAATAGTAAAAAGCTAATCAGTATTTACTGATGAAGAGAAATTCTTAATCTGTTATTAATAATTTCAGAGCACTGTAATTATAAATAATAATATCTAAAAATAGATCAGTCAATTCAGAGGCTTTAATCTTTTTATAAGTAGAAATATATCTGATCATCTTTATAAAGTAGTCAATAATAACTAAAATTGAGTTATATTCTTTAACTCTTATTGACTTCAGTAGATCAACTATGAAATTCATTAATAGATTCTGTTATAAGCTCTTTGAAATAGATAGTGATATTAACTTACTATATTACTTATACTACAGAATCTTTATTCTTTGACAGATATTATAAGTTTTAATATACTCTTTGATATATATCTGAAGCTTGTCTTAAATATATTTATATTTTAGAAGCTTCTCAGTCTTCTCTAACTGTAAGAAATCCCGCTCCTCGCGGATTCTTTACCCCTATTCCTATCTCTCGCGTAACCAATAGGGCTAGCAGCCCTTGGCTACACACAACTATATAGACTGGAGTTCGCGAATACTATTCACAACTCAGCTTAAATGCTATTATACATTTGATCTCTACATTTTATCTTTCTACTGTGAACACTTCTAATAGTTAACAGTACATATCATGTCAAGCTGCAAACACCTGAATAATTGTCTGTGAGCACTTATTCTTACATTTCAAGCTCAGTCAGTCAGCAACTGTCTGTTATGACTGAAAGAACTAGAAACTTATATACTTCAACCCCTGCAAACTCTACTGCAGGCACTCAGAAGCAGTCACTCAAATCATGAATAATCTCTGTGAAAGAAGTCTCAGAGAACTTATCAATCACTCACAGAACATCATTCTCTACATCTATGACAGAGGAACTCTCTGAATTCATGAATAAATCAATCTCAGTGAAGAACATTCTTAAGCATCTCTCATGAAATCAAGCTATTTTTCTACAAGAAATGCTTACTGTCTGCAAACATTCTTGAACTGAGTCTCTAGACATGATCTTCAGAGACACTCATAAACTGAAAAGAAACTTTCTCAAGTCATAATCACTTAAGATTATCTATCAAATCATAATCTATAAAAGCTTTTACAAGTTTGCATTTGAAATTGACTTACAAGCCCAGCTGTGTGATATGAAAGATGAAGAAGCTATCATCTATATAATGACAGGCCTCTATTACACTGAAGTCAAGAACTGACTGAATTATCTAGAGAATGATCATAAGAGATTCTGATAATCTGTTCTCAAGACCTATCTAGAGAATAAGTTAAGAGACTTTGTAAGCTGAACAGAGAACATCTGAGCTGTAATCATCAATATTAGAAAAAGAGATGAGAAATCTGATGAAGACTACTCACAGTACTTTATAAAATTATAATATGAATTGAGATCTGAGAAAACAGAGTTCTGAAACAAGATCTGAATGATGATATTTGTAAAGAGACTGAATAAAGATATGCAGAACAAGCTCATTGAGTAAGACTCTAAGCTCTTGACTCTGAAGAAACTGATGACTCTCATTCATCACTTACAGATCACTGTGAGAGTCACAGATCTACAGAGAGCAGATCATTGATCAGCTCTGTAAGAATCAGAATAACAGAGAACAGGTTTGTCAGAAAAAGATGACAAGATATAAAGAGATTCATGTCTGACTACTGAGTAGAGAGAGAGAGCTTCACAAGCTCTCATGAACAGAGTATACAACAGAGAGATCAAGAAAAAGAAACTCTGCTTCATCTGTTCTAAATCAGAACATCTTCATGCAAACTGTTCAGATAAATTAAAATAGAAATTTAAGAAGTTACAGACAGAGTCAGTAACAGCCTTCTTAAGAGTCTTGAAGCTAATATCTGAATCTGTTACTTTCTCAATGAAAATGCTTGCTCACAGAGAGAGATCACATTGCAGTGCTGCTGCCTCATAAGCATGAGAAGTATTAATGAACTCAGGATCTCAGATCACTGTGATATCTCTAAAGCTCACAGAGTGAATAAGCTGAAAGATGAAGACTGAGAATCTGCTCTTATAACAAGCAGAGTGTGAGAACTCAGTTCTGAGAGCTGAGAGACTTGTAAGAGTTATCTTTGAATTACAAGATCTCTCTGAAATCTGAAGAAGATTTACAGAAACTGTGATTATCACAGATATTACAGATAATATATATTTAAGACTTGCATGACTTCAAAGACACAATTCATATATAGCTGTTTATGAGTCAGGTTTATACTTTCAATCAGTGTTGACAGACTTACTTATAAAGATAGAAGCAGTTGATGCTGCAGAGTTGATTAGAGAAGACAAGCTCATCTATATAATGACTTTATGAGTGTCTGAGAACCTTGCAGTCATGAAAACTGAGCTTCAGATACTAGAGAAATACTGAGATCTTGCAGAGATGTTCAGCCTAGCTAAGGCAGCTGAGCTTTCTTCTCACTGTGAGAAGAATCTGATAATAGATTTGATAGAAGAGTAGAAACCCTTCTGAGAATCAATTTATAAACTCTTTCATCATGAGACAGAAATCTTGCAGACCTATGTAGAGAAGAATCTGAAGAATGACTTCATTCAATCTTCACAGGCCTTCATAGAAGTCTCTGTGATGTTCATGAAGAAGAAGAATGAAGATCTCAGATTATGTGTAGACTACTGCAACCTGAACTTCAAGATAATAAAGAGCTGCTACTCTCTATCTCTAATTAAGAATGTAATCAACTGTCTCACAGAAGCTGTCATATTCACATAACTGAATGTGATCAATGTATATACACAGCTGTGAATATAGTCTGAGAATGAATAAAAGACTGTCTTTAGAACTGCACTGAGATTGTTTGAATATCTAGTGATGTCTTTTGATCTGACTAATGTCTCTACAGTATTTCAGTCTTTTATTAATAAAACACTTCATGTATATCTAAATGTCTTTATGATAATATATCTGAATGATGTGATGATGTACTTTATAAAGAAGAAAGAACATACTGAG